TATATTTTTTGATTGAGGCCTGTTTTTTCCAAAAATACTAAAGTCGAGCAACAATATTTACAATGTATTACAGAACAAATACATCACAAGTTTACAGGATACCTTTACCTTATAATTCTTTATCATTAACAAACTTGCTTTGTAAACTGTTCACATACTTTTTTCTTATAATTATATGTTGTATGTTCTGCATTCAGTGAGATATAAAAATAATTTTTTTTCTCAAAATAATTTTTTCCTACCTACCTACCCTATTTTTTTAGGTCGGGGACAGGAAACAAGAGTTTTTTTTTCTTTTGGCCTTTTAATAATAAATACAGCTTGCAGTTGAAGGTAACATTGAATATATTCTCCCTTAAAAACCATGGTCAACCTCAGCTGCGCGCTAAGTTGACCATGGTTTTTCTTTGGGAGAAAATTTTCAATGTTACCCTCAAGTACATGCTGTATTTAAAAACAATATCACAGATGGTAAATACAAAATAAGCAATGTTAAGAAACAATATGTGCAGAAGAAATAAAGATAGGCCAAGTTCAAGATATGGGTATACAGAAAAGTTTAATGGTATTGTGCATTTCTAATATCAGTAAAAATATATTTGTTTATGTCAAAGTATTTTTTCCTTCTATCAAGTTCTCCTAGGCAGTGACACACATGTTAAGGGCTGGGAGTTGGAACATTTCTTTTGTCATTGTAATGTATCATTATGTCACTTAAAAAATCATTTTACATTATCGGTATCATATATACATGCATCAGGATTAAACAATGACAATGTGATATTCATCACATTTATGAACTAATATACACTGTATTCGGAATATTGTCGATACAATAATATTACATAAATAAACATGTATTATGCTATTACTTAGAATTCCTGAGTTAAATGCTTCTCCTGTTGTCAACAACAGAATCACAGTCACTTATCTTTTAAAACAGCATACACATAAAGTCAACAGAGGCATATAATCATTGATACACCATTGATGCTACATCCATTAATCCAAAATTGTGCCTCAGCTTAGCATCATCAGTATTACCTTTTTTTCAATGTTCTGATGTCAAAAAATATACATATACGAGGGACGTTCAATAAATAATGTCACCGGGGCTCGGAAAGAAGCAAAAGACGCTTTATAATGATTTAGTCTTCATGATTTTACTTATTAATCTCTTTTGATTAAAATAGATGTCGTTTAAGTTTTCATTTAATTTCTGATTGTATTTAAAACACATTTTTAAGCATGACCCTTAGTATACTGGAAAACAGCAGATCCAATGATTTCCTGGACTTGTTTTTTTTTCTTTCTGAAAGGTGGTTTTTCAAGTTTGGAAATAGAAACAAGTCAAAAGGTAAAAGATCTACCGAATATTGTTAAAATGAAAAATATTAACTTTCTTTTAATCCCGAAAACCCCTTTAATCTTCAGGGGTGCAGGGTTTGGACGCTGTCATGAAGAAATTTAATGTAGCGGATTCCTGATTCTAGGTCCTTCCTCTAATAAACCTTTCGATTTTTTTTTGCAAAAAGATTGCTTTCTAGACTCTTCCAAAAATTAAACTGTCTCTCCGAATACGAAATTGAACAACAGTACCACTAATATTTAAGAATATTGCATATAAATCTGTCTTTGTGTTCTTGCATACCTTTGCTCTTGTCAGACCATTGCTGTTTTTATCAAGTAAATCTTATGGTTAATTTTGTATTGAGTGTTTTAAGCAATAGATTCATGTTCCATTATCTGTTTGAATATGAACCAAAATTGGATAACTACAGTTACTGATATTTGAAACTTATTGTAAAGACATTCATACACACTGTCGTTTTCACTCATTTTTCAAAATATAGGGTGATCTTTGAGTACTAAGCTTTTTTACCGTCAAACGTTTCTTAAAAACATTGTAAACTACTCACGATATGATGTATATCAAATTTGCTGTGTCTTAAAGTCAGTCATACATCATCAGATATTATTTGTTGAAATTGGGCAAATAGTACATAAGTTGTTATAATTTTTGTTGGCTAGGACGGTATCCATTTTGATGCCCATTATATAATTTTTTATCATTGAAATCCACTTGTTTATTTGTCTATAAAACAGGCATTGGTTGATGTAAATGTCACATATTTCAGTGAAAATTTCTTTTGGATTTTTAACACGTTTAAGAGCAGCTTTAATGAAGCTTTTATTTTCACTCTAGTTTACTGATTCTTTACCATTCATTTATAATGCCATGTATCGAATAGCCCTTGTTTCCCAGCTTCTCACGATGAAACTATGTGATGAAAAGTGGTCACATAAACTGTTATCAATTCAATAAAGATTCAATAATGAGAGAAAGTCTAGCTTAATGTCATATGACTTCTTTGTTGTATGTCATCGAGCTAATGACATTATTTATTGAATGTCCCTCGTATAACACAAATAAATTTACCAAAATTTAAAAAGGTGCTTTCTACTTCAAATATTACTCCAAGTGCTGATTTTCTTGGGTTTTTAACAGCATAAAAATATTAATGTCAAGAATAAGTGGCATGTCTCTTTCTCCATTATCATTTGTAAATTACCTAACTAACTGAAGATGTAGCCTGCTGAAATTTACAGGGACATTCTCTTATCTCACTCGGGTGAAGATTTTTTTTGTTTCCTTTTGTGCTTCATTATTGATCCTGAATTCATGCGATATTTCATTATATTTAAGTAATACATTTGACTCGGAATTTTTTGAATGATTTTTTTAAAAAAAAAAATTGAAATAATCTATCCTGATTTTTCTTCTTCACCAAATTAAAGTAAGTATCAATAATGTATATAACAAAAATAACAATTCATGTGTCATTTTACTCATTTTTATAGTTCACATGTATAGTGATATCTTCACTTTTATAATATACCGGCTTTATAATTAAGTTGTTTCATAACAAATACTTTTCTGAACATAATATAATAATATCAGTAAACTGACAACTCACCTTGATAATACCTAAGTAGCCTGCCTTTCTTGATGACTGTTACCTATCTAATTGCTGTATACAGTCAGTATGTCATGAGATCGACCCACAAATGCTACAATATTAAGATTCCAAAAGCTATACACTGCACTTATACATACAATCACAAAAAAAAAATTTGAAATCAAAACATGAAAATTAGGCAGAATATATTTTTGCAGCATTCTCTTTTTCGAGAATCTATATTCAGTTCACCAGGATCAGCTCTGAACAGTCCACTTTAAGTCTATGTATAGTCCGAGTACATAACTGCCTAAGTTCAAAGTATATAAAACTTAATCACCATATTGTACGTAATTTTAAATAATTCAAATATTGCTCGCGTTTATTTCCACTTACATTATCACTACCTTGACATAAATATATTTATAAGACCTATTTTTTTAAAGGACAGTACTAGTCAATACCAAATCTCCACATGCTTGTTATCTAGACAACTAATGATAAGAAAGGAAAAAAATAATAAAACACAACTTTACTTTTACACTGGGCAATTCCCATTTCTAATAAATATTTCTTGACATTTCTTTTAAAAGCAAACTTATTTTCAGTATTTTTAACCGGTTTAATTTCTGCTGGTAACATTTCCCAATCTTTGATTCCATTAAAATAAAAAAGAGTCAGATTGATTATGCTTAATGAATTGTACAACAAAATCTGATTTTGATGCTGATCTAGTATTATAACAAGTAAAATTTGACCGAAGTAAAAAATATTCCTTAAGATAAGAAGGGGATTTTCCTAGAAAAATTTTAAAAACATGGTTGAGTCTAAGCTGAGAGACTCTATCTTGAATATTTGGTAAATTTAATTGTTCAAGTATTTTTTATAATTCACAGATGACTGTGGACCTAAATTTAAAATAAATCGAACCATAATGTTTTGACAAATTTGTAACTTTTTCTTAAAAGCTTTACAAAGCCTTGCATACCAAGCACTACAGGCGTAATCAATATGACATTGCATTAATGTTTGCTGAGCACATAGTCATTTTACAAAAAGTATCTAAAAAACGGGCTTGTCGGTACAGAAATCGCAATCTCTTATTTACTTTCTGAACAATCGATTCAACAATGCATTCACCACCTAAACATTTATCAATCGAAACCCGAAGAGCTTTAACATTTTCTTTACAATCAATATGTAGTCATAACATTCAACCTCAATTTTTTCAACATTAAGACTCTTTGAATGAAAAAGTAAAAAAAATGTTTTTATCAAACGTGTGTTTGTATCATAAGTTCTGAATTTTGGGGATATGAACCGAAAAATCTAACACAAACACAATTCAGCGTACATCATGAGGCTACTCAAGCTAACAATACCTCTAGTGTTTTTAGCGTGCGTGTAGATCGGAGAAATACCTTAGGAAAAGAGGAAATCAAATATGGAGGTATATATAATCGATTTTTAAAAACAATTTTGTATACCAACTTAAACAAAAAAGATTTTGACAAAGCAATATCCATAACCCTTCGAGATATTTCTAGTTTAAATTGGTTCAAATACATAAACATTTTCTTATTTATGACTTTCTATGGAAATTTGATTTATTTTGATTTATTGTCTCATAAATTGCATGTTGTTTGACTTATTTTTGACGATGTTGTCATTTACTTGTATAATTACTTTTGTTCAACGCTAGATTTGATAAAAATAATAAAACTTTGAATTATTTTAAATATTTGTAAAATACAATATTTAATACATGTAGGTCATCATCTTTATTTTCTTTTTATGTCCGTTAACAGTCTAAATAGTATTTTCGATGACTGGTACTCATGCACAAAATAGTGCATTTACAAATATCCAAAATATTTCAGCGTTTTTTTTTTATATTTAGTAAATCTGGCCATAATATAACCTACACGATTTTTCTAGACAGCTAACAGAGTTTTACTGACGAAAAGTAAATTGAGTTTATTTCTGTAGAGAGGGTTCTCATGTTCATGTAGATGTAATTGGATATCTTGTGTTATTCAGAAGTAAACCTTTTTGACAACTATGATACTCCAGAAAACAGTTACAAGACAGCGTATGATAAAAAAAATTATATAAAGAAAAAGAAATCAGTATCTAAATTTCCAAAGAATTCAATTTGGAAGCATCCCGTTTTTAACTATTTTGATTTTCTTCTATTTCTTTTAGGAGATAGTGTTTTTAGAGACTTAAATCTTCTAAATCATGGGTTCAGGATCAAGCGTACAGTGTACGATACGGCAATGTTCTCAAGATCAGGGAGACAAAAAATTAAACTGTAACACTTGTAAACATGACCTGTGTCTTATGTGTAAAGAGAGACACGTAACAAACTTTCTTACTAGACATCATAAATCAGTATTGTATAAAGCCTTGACTAAACAGTATAAAGTCCGGCAATGTTCTCAATGTCAGAGAGACACGGAATACTATTGTAACACGTGTAAACATGACCTGTGTCTACAGTGTAAAGAAAGACACGTTATTGAATTAGATACCATTTACCATAATGTTGTGATTTACCGAGAGAAATATGACATTAAAAAATTCGAACCCCGTGTGAGACATGCAGACAGAATGTATAAACAATACTGTTATTCATGTAAATGTCCTTTCTGTTCCAAGTCTGATAAACATGCACAACACAAAATACTGGACATGAGAACAGCGTATGAAACAAACCGTAAACATCTCAGAGTCATCATGCAGAGGATTAGAAGTAAGGCTCTCTTTAATAACCGTTTTCTCCTGGCAGACATCAAAACTGATTTAAAAACAGCTCAAACAAAGATCTTCAATCATCACTTAAAAATGATAAAAAAAAGCCCAGAGACTAAAGGGCTTCATTGACACGTTGATGTGTAATGTTCAAGTCAGATTGCACAATTTCAGGATTCACAAATTACAAAATAAGAGAAAACTGCACAAAAATCTCGTCAGCATAGAAAACTTTGAACATAAATATGAACAATCAGAGAAGAGAGTGATAAGTTTCATCTTATTTTGTAAAATCATCTTAAAGTTTGTCCCAAAAATAAAGGACCGTCTTAATCTTACACAGCACGTCTTTCTCTATTTGACTGATGCAATAAGATTGGAGAAAGTGGTTGAGTTTTTGAGTGAAATCCAAATCATAGAGAGAGGACAGAGACAAGTTAGAAAGGAAGATCTGCTGGAATTGATGTCTTCACCTGTGTTACAAAGAAAAATTGAACTGAAAACTAAGGGTACGGTAATACACATTTCTTGTCTTAACTCTGACCGGTTCTGGATCAGTAATATGCTCAACAACTATAATACTGATATGATATTGACAAACACAGAAGGGGAGGCTCTACATCGTCTGATATGCAAAATTTCCACAGATAGGTGGAATTCTATGGATGGAGCACACACAGTGAACAATAAAGGTGAATTAATTCATATAGACAATAGCAAAAACATTTACAGACTTTCAACAGATAACAAAACAAGATCCCTATTGATAATAGGAACAGATTTCAGGGAATGGGAGCCACGGTGTGTTTATTATTCCGCCTTCAAAGGGGAACTACTGGTCGGCCTGTTAAATGCTGAAAAGGCAGGCAAGGTAAACCGTTACAGTAGCACAAACCAACACATACAGACAATACAACACGACTACACAGGTCAGGGACTATATAGTAATCCTCATTACATCACAGAGAACCGCAATGGAAATGTTATTGTGTCTGATAGTTTTCGTGGTGTAGTGGTGACAGATCGTAAAGGAAGACATCGCTTCACCTACACAGGACCACCATCAGGGTCACGCCTGTAATAGTGTTAGATTTGTATAATAAAGTTATAGAACTTACCAGAATATTTATTTTAACTTTTATTTAACTTATTAAAAACTTAGATCCACTCCTTAGTTCTCCCTTACCTGTATTACCTGTACATATTTGTATATATACCCCAGGGCATTGATCAGGTATTTTGGCAGTGATCTTTGTGATTTTGGTTTTTATTGGTTATTGATTTAAAAGGTGGGATTCGATTGGTTTTCTTGGTTGGTCTGGATTTTTCCCGCTTTGTTATGACCATTCTTTGTTCTGTGGGTTGATCAGACCAGACCTTTATTTAGACCTATATACATAGACTTGAGACTGAAGATTTTCCTTCTCTGGTAAGTTACTAATATTTTCTTATTTTAAATGTTCATCCTATAGAATGCAAAAGCTATTTCCATTTGCACTCATTACTAAATTGAATGATTTTGAGAGAAAGTTATTTTATGATGCATATTTATTATTGGTTACAAGATCAATATGAAGTATTTTCTAGAAGTAATTTGATGTTAATCAGATTATGTGTTTTTATGATGATCAAAGATATTTTTGATTATATTGTTCAAAGTGAGCAACTGGTATATTTTTAATAGATTATATTTTTTAAAATATTGTATTAAATTACAGATCACCATTCATACTGACATTTGTAATCCATACAATTAATTTATTGGGAAAGCCTGTTCCCACAGAATGGTGAGATTTATATGTTTTATCTTGGATATCTTTTTATGATTATTTTGGGAGAAGTATGTAAAGATTTATATATTCAAGAGTTATCTCCCTTTGATGATAATTGTGTAAACTTAGGATGATAATCTATTATCTTCATGTTACATGTAAAGTAATGATTGAACATTATGTGTGTGATATTTACATCTTATTTATTGTTGTTTTATGATATTTACAGGGCTATATTAAAATTGATGTAATACGCCATGTCACTCCACTGTGAATAAATATAAAGAACCCTGACAGGAGTTGTCGATTATTTCCATACCCCTGTTACATTTGGCGCCCACGTTGGGACACAGTGGCCTTGAGTGACCGAGGATACATCAGGAGCAGACTGGAGACAAGTGTATGGTGTGTGTGGTGCCCTTGCCGATCCATGGAGATCATCAGACTGCGACCCATGAACTGACTTCAGTGGTGACTGCATGTGTTTAACACCCAAGTTACAAACTTTGATCCGCGCCTAACAAGTGACATTCCGTAGGATCATCAGTGACACCGGTGTTGTGCATTTTGACAGTGTGAGACTGCATGCAATTATCTATCTGTGATATTTATCTTTACCAGCTGGTGAGTTACATGCATGTTTAAAAAAAAACTGTAGATATTAGAACTTGGTGCACCATTTAGAGTTAAATTTTGTGTATACCGGTATATTTTTTCCTATGTAAAGTTTCAATTATTTATTATTAATCAGTGGTGTAAATATTTTTTGAAAAGGCCTCAATTTAGTTAGCTAGCAATATTTTTATAGACCAGTGTTAATTATTGTCTGTCTGAGTCCGTCATAACTGGGTTTATTATTTTTACCGTGCACATATTGGTATTATTAGAACTTTAAAATGTAAGAAGTACTGCAGTGAGAGTGACTCAGTGAGAGCCTGGTAAGTTGTGTAATTAACAGTGCACATATTTCCTTCATTCCATTCCCAGTATTGGTTAGTATTTAACTGCTATCTCTTTAAACTGACATTTTACAGACGAGACAGTAGGACTACAATAGTTGAATTTACAAGTTTACATTGGTTGTGTTCAAGTTGGTTGATTTGAGTTTGTCGTGTTATTTTGTGAGGTCATAGTTGCTTCAGTGTTATCAGTGGTTTTTGAGTTGTTTGGTAGTTAATCCCAAAACCCCCTATATTACCCCAAATCCCATTTGTAGCTATTATTTACATTTAGATTAGAGTTAGTATTATTTCATACGTATCAATTTAGATCGGGTTCGGTTTCATCTCCGTATTTCAATCGAGTTCGGTTTTGTTTTGCGAATTCCGATCGAGCTCGAAATCCGTTCATTCATAAACCGGAAGTTTACAAAACGTGATTCGGTTTTTCTGAATTTTTTGTTTTCAGCACTTTAATTTTATTTTAAAACTTCAACAACAATCTTTGCATTTAGATTTTGTGTTTCTGTGTTATAATCTTACAGAGTCCAAGTTCCCAGGTAAATATTTCTGCTTAAAACCTCGTATTTATCTTATTATTTGCACCTCATTTCATCGAAGTAAAATCAGCTGATTTGGATCGACAAGTAAGTTCATATTGACAAAGTTACCTGTTTGTTTTCAGTATTGATATTATTTGCTGATAATTTAGGTCTGTTTTTGAATCGTTTTACGTTTACCAAACTTACTCTATGTAGTACAAAAGATTGAAAGTCTTCTTTATTGCAGGTTGTAAATAGTATTTTGTTTTCAGCAGTAAGATAAAATATTTTGAGTGCATTTATAGACCGGAAGTGCAGCACTTAGCGGAAGTGCATCCTACTTTCATTTTCTATTTATATTCTGACTTTGTTTATATTTTCCCAAAGATTATTAGTTCATTCTGAACTACCCTCTTGGAATTATTTCAATTTTATTTCAGCATGAGATAAATTAAACATACAAACAATTGCTTACTTTTGAATATTGGATATTGCTTTGTAGTATTGTAAATATTTTGTAATATTATTTGTTTCTACCAAACAATTGTTCAACAATGAATCCTGAGGAAGCAGCGATGACACAGCATGAAGTGAAGAAGAATCCTGAGGAAGCAGCGATGACGCAGCAGGAAGTGAAGAACATGCTCATAGCCTGGAAAGCCATGAAGTTGAAGCCCAAGGCTGATAGCCCGCAGGACTTCATAGACTGGATGACGGCTACATTCATAAAGGAAGAACCAAAAGAGACAACTGCATCTCCAAGCAAAACAACTTCGAGTAACACAGCTCAACCGCCACCATCTTCTGGGAAACTGACGCCTTATACTCCGTTCCCACGGATATCTACCTTCTCAGGAGATAGTAAGAGTGACGTTACTTATGATGTTTGGAAATATGAAGTGGAATGCCTCATCAACGAATCATATCATCCAGATACTATCCATCATGCTATCAGACGCTCGTTGAAGGGAGAAGCAAGTCGTGTGATAGTGCATCTTGGACCAGGGGCATCTACTGCAGTTATCATCCAGAAACTAGATAGCATCTATCACAACTGGCTTTTAAAACCCCTGTCCGTATGAAAATCCCCTGTCTTTCTCTGTATCCTACAGCATTTTCACAGTAATCTACGGCATATCTACAGTATGCTACGGTATGCTAGCTCTGTATATACAGTAAATCTCTGTATGCCACTGTATGTATCCCCAGCATGCCACAGTTACATACAGTAGGCCCCGATACGCCTACAGTATGCCATTGTATGGCTACTGTTTCCTACAGACAACTACGGTAAACCCCAGTATATGCCCCAGTACGCCCCTGTATATGTTCATTGAAGCAAAAAGAAGAAGTTTACACACTCCCATAGCACTGTACGGTTACCTAAGATGTGGGATTATCAATTTAGTACACAGAGTTACTTACCTAAGAAATTTTTGACCACTATTTTAAACACATAGTAGTTTATTTTTTAATTTGTTAGGAGACTTATCGTGTTCTTATATAACTCTGAAAAATTTAAAAACGTTGCTTCAAAAAATATTTATCTATCAATTTTTAAAATTAGTTATTAAATTATTCTTTGAATTGATTTATTAGTTAATTAATTAATTTATTTATTTTGCGAACTCCTATTTAATCCATAAAATACTTGGAGTGACTGTAACTTTTGAAGAAAAAAAACCAAAGGCCGGGGTAATGCTGAATTTTGGAAAATTGTAGTTTTTAAAATTGATATAGTTTCTTTGAAAAAAATAAATATAATTAATTAACGGCATGAAATTAATCATTGTAAAAACAAATCTATCTATTTCTTGACAAATGCAGAGCTGCATAGTAGACACTGCACAATATAAACAAGGTGAAGTGGTAAGTGAAAATTAAGTAAAATAAATGACTTTAAAAATACTAATTATTTATCTTATTTCTTTATTTTGTTTATCAATTTATCTACAAATACATAAATAAACAAAATAAATAAATTAATAATTTATTTATTTTTGTAATTGATGACAACAAAGTGATCTATTATATACCCCCGCCCCCTCCTTCAGATTGATTTTGTAGTTTTATTTTTATATGAAAATTATTTTTTCCTAAAATATGCTACAAAGTATTTTTTAAGAATAATAAAACAAATTTCAATTATTTTACGTCCATGATGGATATCGATATAATCGTCAGGTTATGTACAATTTTAATTTGTCAATTGCAATTTAATATTTTTACTTTTGTTTTGATCGAAAAAAAAAAACGGTTTTCAAAACCCTAACACGATTATGAAAGAACTTCAAAGCCATTGATTGTTTACAAGTGACTCGGGGTACACAGTAATGACACCTATTGTCTTTTTCACTGACCACTATACCTTGTTTATTTTGTGGCAGAGAGCGACCGTGTCTACTCTGAGGCTGTTTGATATAACATTTTCTCTTTGTGAGAGAACCGATTTTTTTTTCAAACAAAACAAAATTAAAGTATCAAAAAAGCTATTGACGGGTTAAGATTGTGCATAATGAGACGATTATTTTGATATCCAACACGGAAGTAAAATAATTAAAAGTAGTATAAATATGCTTCAAAAAGACTTTGAGAGACATTTTAGTGGAAACTTGTTTACATTAAATAAGCCAAGTAAATCCAACTTTCGGGATTATAATTAAGTAATTTGTTTGTATCGTCAATTTTAAAATTAATAGATAAATATATTGTTCTTTTTACAATGAATAAATACGTGCTTTTAATCAGTTTTATTTATTTATTCACTAACCATTTAAAATCAATTATTGAATTGATTTAAAAACTAATTTAAAAAAAAATGCAGCATTA